CACTCCGATCCCTCTTCGTAGTATAACCTCCTCGACTAAACTTTTGGGCCTACACGTCCATCGGGCCTTGTCCTCTATGGGCTTCTGTCCTGCCTGCATGGCAATCTTTGGTTGGTCCCGAACCACCCATGCGGGATCCGACACCAACACTACTTACACTTTAAACTTTCAATATTTTGAACTGACCCAATAAACCATCAAAATGACAATTATGTTATTTTAAACCTTCAAAGTGACATTTGTGTTCGCCCATCCATAGAAATTCAGAAAAAATATTGATTTCATCAATAGTACTATCTGTTTTTCGTTATAAATAATGAAGTGGCTTTAATAAGTAATTTTATTATAATAAAAATTAATCATAATTAAATTTCCGAATTTATCATTAAGAATAAATTTCAAAAGTACAGAAAAATTAAAAATGCAATCTTTGCCGTGAGTGGCTTCTTTTTATTCTCTTACTTTTTCGTGTAGTCAATCCTTTAGAAATTTTACGCCAAGAAATTTGTTTTATGATCTAGTAGTTTGAGGTATAATTCTGGGCATGAAATGTATGCAAGCTTTCACTTACTACCACAACCAAATTTTTTTTTTTTGAATTTTAAAATATATTATTAATGATAGATAAAAATCTGATTTAAATTATTTTTACTAAAATAAAAATAATTATTAAAGTTACTTTAGTATTTAAAACAAAAAATAAATATTTTATTGATGGATTCAATTTATCCATCAATTTTTATCGGATCACGGATACGAAAGCCACTTTGAAGGTTTAAAGTAACAAATTTGTCACTTTGATGGTCTACTGTGAGAGTTCAAACTTGTAAGGTTTAAAATGTAAGTGGTTGTTATTTTGAAAGTTTTTTACAGGTTTTTCCAGTTTCTTAATAATTGATTTGATTCGCTTTGAATTTTGGAATAACGATCTCTGTGACTCCCGCAAAATCGTTTATGATGCGCAATGAACACGTCATTCACTAAATGTCCGAAGATCTGTTAGTTTCGCATTAGAGAGATTTTTGTTTGCCAGTTTTTGGTTTTGGGCTTATGCATGTGTAGCCCATATAGAGTATGAGCCCAAAGTGAATTCTATCCCACACAAAGTTTTGAACCCTTTGAATCTGTTTAGGTATTTCAGGTCGAATGTTGTGCGGAATCCGACACCAACACCATTCTCAACGTTTATGAGCTACATTTTTTAAGTTTATGCATGCCATGAATCACTGTTTTTTTTTGTATCAACATTTTTTTATTGCTACGTTGACAGCTAAAAAGTCCTCTTTTGTATGTTTTGATTACTCTAGTCCATTGGCTTGTGACGTATACGGCGAGATCAATGGTGAGGTTTGATCAAGATAGCTTCGGCAAGTGAAAATCGACGACTAAGGATACATGGTAGGCCCATGGCTAAAGTCTATGAAGCAAGGGTTTTAGGAAGCAAATAATTATAACTAGTTTTAGGGACTTTTTTTTTTTTTAAATGTGACTGTGGTCTAGTAGTTAGTACGAAGTGTTTTATTGTCTAGGTCATGGTTTCGAGTCCAAAACATTCTAAAACTTGAAAAAATTTCATAACAGTTTTTGTTAATGGACCAAATTTGTTTTGCTTTAGGCACTTAAATAGAGTCCAACACATGCTAAAACTTGTAAATTTTTTTCATCACAATTTTTGTTAATGGCCCAAACTTTTTTGCTTTAGACCCTCAAATAGTTTGTGCCGGCCCTGAAGGATCAAACTTAGAAAAGGTTCAGCGAGAGAGATAATCATGATTTAGGATTTTTTTCTGTCAATTAAGCAAAGATAATTTAGCAATTTTTCTATTAAAAAGGGATTTTTTTAAAAATGTATAGTTGAAATGTGAACATTTCTATAAAAATATTTTAGACCTGGTGAAGATGGTGTATTTTCCACATGAATAGCCAGAATTTTCAGTTTATTTAGACGACATTCAGAGCGATAAGGAAGAGTTTTCCACTTTTTTTATCTTTTATTTTTTTGTAGTGAAAATATTAAAACGGATACGTTGGTACGGAAAATCCGAACCGAACCACAACTTTCAACTTATGTAAACATCTTTCTTCAGGATTAACTTCTTTGAGCCGATTTAATTAATAGCTGTTGACAAAAGAAAAATTTTCTCCGTAAAGTAGTTAAATGTTTTTAAAAGTTTGATTGTTTGTTAGATTTTTATTTAACTTTCTACCGTAAGCAGTAGTGATTATTTCTGTAGTTTGACTGTTTGTTAGATTTTTATTTAACTTTCGACCATTAGCAGTGAATTTCTGAGTTTGACTGATTTGTTTGGTAAGTTTTCAAAGAAGAATTGTCAAAAGTTTTGACTATGTTTTAAACATCACGTAAGTAACTTAGTTTTGATTTATTTTCATTTTTAAAATAAAATTACACAAATGTATGAATGTATCAATGAACAATACAAATAAAAATAACGATAACTTTGAAATATAAAATGTCATTTCATGAAAATGATATATATCACATTTTTTTTTTACCTCAGTATATTTCAATTTAAAAGTTTATTAGTGTGTAATAAATATTTTCGATTTGACTAATATCGGTCATATTATTTTTATAACTATAAATTTCTATAGGCTATAATAAATTGAAAATTTTATTATTTAGAGACATTCTTGAAATCGCATTATCGAAAATTCGAAATGGATTATTTTTATAAATATATTAGGAATATATAGGATAATTAGGATTTTCCACTCCACAAAATTCTGAACCAGAATTATTAAAAAGAAAAAAAAAAAACACATTTTCATTTCTCTTGGTCCCATATGTCACCGTCCTTCTCCATCGCCACCACCGTCTCACCGGCTTCTCTAGCCGGAACTCTGGTCTCTAACTCAAAGGTAGCTTTTCGCTGAGACTATTCCATTGATTAGTGAAGAACCATTGAGATTATGTCTTTGATTAGTGTTGTATCTGTTTTTTCTGTTCTGTAATAATTCTGAAATTGAATAACTGAAGTCACACACGTATCAGCTTTAACTTTTCTAGATTTTGAAAATTGATCAATTCAGTGTTATGTGTTCTTTAAAATCAGTTGACACTCTTTCTTTGATTTGTTTTTTTTTGTAGAATGTTTTGTGTAGTTTACACTTGAAGAACAATGATGTTACCAAGACGAATAAGAATCTCAAGTTTAGAGCTGGTTCTGTTTCTGGAGGGTATAACAACACATCTGTGGACAATGTACCTTTTCCTCGTGATTATGTCGAGCTCATTAACCAAGTAAGCTTTTATTGTGCCTTGTGGAATTTTGTAAAGCTAAAGTATTAAGAGATGATGTTTTTGTGGTTGAAAATTACAGGCCAAAGAAGCAGTTGAATTGGCTATGAAGGATGAGAAACAGTTAATGGTGAGTTTTGCAATGTGTTGAATATTAAATGGATCTACGAAAAACAAGTATTTATTTCGTGATCCAAAGGAACCCTTTTACAGGAAATTGAGTTCCCAACATCTGGTCTAGCATCTGTGCCAGGTTATAATCCTTTTTCGTCTTATGCAATTTTTCATTGATGGTTTTCTCTCTTGCTTTTTCGTCTTAGCAACATTGTTTTTTAGTTCTGTTTTACTTGTGTTAGGTGATGGTGAAGGAGCTACAGAAATGACAGAAAGTATAAATATGATACGCGAGTTTTGTGACCGACTATTAGCTCCTGAAAAGGCTCGAACCACAAGAATTGTATGTGTTCTACTTTTGATTAGTGTTATGTTATCCAAGTAATGATTAGATTCAATATCTTTCAGAATCTTTCTCAAACGAGATTGTTTTTTCAGTTCTTCCCGGAAGCAAACGAAGTCAAATTTGCTCAAAAGACAGTCTTTGGAGGAACTTACTTCAAGTTGGACTATCTAACAAAACCGTCTCTTTTTGAGGATTTTGGTTTCTTTGAGAGAGTAAAAATGGTGGATCGAGTGAAGCCAGAAGACGAATTGTTTCTCGTCGCATACCCATATTTTAATGTCAACGGTAATTCCCTGAAAACCTCTTATCATCCTTACTGTTAACAATATCCACATTCTGACTCATTCCTTTGTTGTTCTTGTTTTTCCACTCAGAGATGCTTGTAGTGGAAGAGCTCTACAAGGAAGCTGTTGTGAACACTGATCGAAAACTAATCATCTTCAATGGAGAACTTGACCGCATAAGATCGGGCTGTATCCTTTTTCTTCTCATGAATGAAACAAAGTAGATTCTTTTTCAATTTGCATCACAACTTGAGAGCCAAATGAGAAAGCTGAATCAAGAGAGAGAGACTCTTGTTTTCCTTAAAAAGATACCAAACAATAGACTACCCAAAGTTCTTTTACCCGAAACTGGCTGCACTGACCAAGACTCTTCTTCCAAAGATGGAGACAGTGTACTATATCCACAATTTCAAGGGACAAAAAGGAGGTGTCCTTTTCAGGTATCTGCTAAATAGCTCTTTCTTTCTCACCGGCAAATAAATCTCCTCTTCTTTCATGATCTTGTTCTGAATCGTGCTGTGTTTCGAATTGATTAGATGTTATCCAGGTCCATGGCAAGTACTGAGGAGAACAAGGAACAGTTACATATGTGTTCATCAGCAAGAATCCATGCCTTCTCTCAAGGAAGTTGCCCTCGACATTCTTGCGTCCGCTTGAGATTCTTGTACTGAACTGCTTCATGTACATGTTAAAATTAATTGTCTTGTGGTGATATGAGTTATAGTGATCCGTAGTTTATGTACAATTCATGCCTAGTAAGCTTAAATTAGAGTGTTAAAGCATTTGTCATAAAATTAGACATGATGAAACGGAATTTGGATTTACTGTTGTCTGCTCGGCACATCAGTGGACAGTGGTCAAGCGTTTTTCATGAACTTGGCTTTACATAGTTATTAGATTTTTTAGAAGATAGAATGTAGAGAAACTATGATTATTTTCTCCCAATTCTTATCAGAAAAACAAAAGAAAAAGTATTCCAATATAGTTTTATCACAAATACAGAGGTATCAATTTATTCTTCAACTTCCAGTCCCGATTTAGCATCCCATTCAGAGTAACCTTGTTATGTGGTCCAATACATACCAGAAAAAGAGGCCAGCAATATATGAAGAAAACTAATGTTTTATCATCTACTTGCTATGGCTATTCGACTGGTACTCTGATTGTACCTTTATTCTGCTTTTCTTCAAAACACTGCAATATAGTTTCCCAGTAGAATTCATCTTTACCATATAACATTGAGCCGGTCACTTTAAGGGCCAAGGGAAGAAATCCAACAAGCTTGATTGCCCGAACTGATAGCTGTCTAAACCGAATCGGAGGTGATTTCTGCTTCAAAGCGAATTGATAGAAAAGTTGAAGCGCTTCGTCAAATCTCAGGCACTTAACTTCATATATATATTTCACTCCACTGGCCAGAAGCAAACTCTCATCTCGTGAAGTCACAATAACTCTACTTCCAGGGACAAACCAACTGGAGATCTTGAGGACTTCCTCTAACGTCTTGACGTTATCCACATCATCAACTATAAGCAGAACTTTTCGGTGTTGAATCAATGATTTCATAATATCTGTACAGTCTTTAGAGTTCCTTACTGCAAGCGCTTCTCTTTTGATAGCTTTTGATAGAAACCGTTCTTCTAGACAGGATGAACTGCTCTCTTGAGCATTTTCTAGAAAAGCATGGGTGTGGAATTGCTGCAAGATTCCCTCGTAAGCATATCTTGATAGGGTTGTTTTTCCAATGCCTCCTGTACCCCAAATGCCAACTACACGAACTTCTTTGTCGGATCCTAGCTCTAATAATGCTGACAAAGCTTGCATACGATGATTCATCCCCACAAGGTCTTCAAAATTTCTTGTTGTGCTTGAAATCGGTTTACTTGAAATAGATTTCATGATAGAGCTGTATTCGCATAACCCATCCAGGGTAATTTTTTTGGGATTTATAATACCGTTATCAGCTGAAATTTCGTATCCAAACAAGATCACTTCCCACTCATCCTTTTTTCTACCAGAAAATCTCGAGCCTAATCTTTTTAAGGATAAAGGAAAACCACCTGCGAGTTTCACTGCACGACATGAAAGGTCTTCAAAACCAAGAAAAGGATGAGTCTGCTCGAAAGCATGGAGACAGAAGAGCTGGAGAGCTTCAGAGAACTCCAGCCCTACAACTTCATATTGAAGTCGTAAAGGGGTAGTCGAACTGAACTGCAAGTTTCGGGTGGTTGTAATGATCCTGCTCCCTGGACCAAAAGAATTAATCTCCTCTGCAAGTTCTTTTATTGGGTCAATTGATTCATTCACATTTTCCAGTACGAGGAGAACCCTTGATGCAGTGTCCTTTGATGTTTTTGACAAAGTTCTTGCTCTCTTAAGTCGAGAACGCACAGGTTTTGCCAACCAGTTCTTATGGTAACGCGAACGTCTTGGTGGAGCATTTAACAAGACATGGGTATCAAAGTTGTGCAAAATCTCTTGATACAGATATTTTGCAAACTCAGTCTTGCCGATGTCTTGGCTACCCCAAATTATGATATGACGAACTTCATCTTTCAATCCTAAATCTAACAATCCATACATGGCTTTCATGTGGCGATCCATCCCCACAAGGCCACACAAATCACTTGACTTGGAAGCGACCAATATATTCCATATGTCATCGGTAATTTTATGGATCAGCTCTGCATCTCCCTCCCTATATATCACAGGGAATACTAAAATCAGGAAACCATTTAAAGTAGCACATAAAAAAATTGTTACATAGAACCTGATTATGGAATTACCAAATCTCCGAGTACTGGCCGCCCGGAATGCTGACCAGTTGGGACAGTGCTTGCCTCCATGTTTGCACCTTTTCAGGGTTTTCTCTCTCATGCAATGAGAATGCTTCGTACAGTTTTCCAATTTGTTTTTTTACATCCATAGGATCAACTTCATAGAAGATTGGTATCAAAACGAGTGAACCTGACTGGTGAAACTTCAAAATCTTAACGAGACTATCCAGGCACAAAGGTGAAGTGGCATAGTTCACCGATATCAAGACAGCGGCCACTTTTGACTCTCCAATTGTCCGATCGACCGCAGAAGAATCTAATTCGCCTCTCTGAGACTCATTTTCATCTTCGAAAGTCTTAATGCCTTTTCGTTCCAATGAACGGCGGAGATGGCTAACAAAGGTTCTACGGGTGTCCAGGCCTTGGAAACTCAGAAAAACGTAAAATTTCCGACTGGAAGAGGAAGACATAACTTTCCAACAAAGCCAGATTCACGTTTGCTACTTCTTTGGCAAGAGAAGAAACTGTCTAAGATAAGCAGGTTTATTGGGGGAGCTAGACTGTGTTTTTATTGGGGAAAAATGTCGTTTAATAGCCGAACTTTCAAAAAATGGCCGTTTAATACGTGAACTTCTTATATGGCCATTTAAACATGAAGTAAACGTTGACCGGCCAATTTAAACATGAAGTATTCGTTGACCAGGCCAAAAACTACACGCCGTTATCTGTCGTTAACAGATCCGACAACAGCCGTTTAACTCTCGTTAACGATTCCGTTATTGCCTAAACGACGTCGTTTTGGGCTTAATCTAAACCCCGAAAATCCCCAAATTGATTTTCAAATCCCTAATTCTGAAAAATCCCCAAAATTAGAACTTTAAGGCCGATTTTCGAGGCGAAGCAGAGAGTGTTGTGGATGCTGGAGTTGAAGCTCGAGGCGAATCTGAGATTGTTGTCGGAGACGGAGTTCAAGCTCCACCGGCGGAAGCGTTTCAGAGCCAGGTGGCAGAGATGGAATTCTAGTTCAACCGAATATCGGAGACAAAGCTCGTGGCCGGCGTCAAAAACGAAGAAAACGACGTCGATTTGGGGATTTGGGATTTCGATTAAGCCTAAAACGACGTCGTTTTAGGTAATAACAGAATCGTTAACGGTTATTATCGGATCTGTTAACGACAGATAACGGCGTGTGTTTTTTGGCCTGGTCAACGAATACTTCATGTTTAAATTGGCCGGTCAACGTTTACTTCATGTTTAAATGGCCATATAAGAAGTTCACGTATTAAACGGCCATTTTTTGAAAGTTCGGCTATTAAACGACATTTTTCCCGTTTTTATTGGGGTCAAATAGGATGCAAACACAGATTGATGGGGTCAACTATGAGAATTTTAGCCATTTGATCTAACTTATTCTTTAATATCAATAACAAAAGATTTAAAATTGAAAATTTTTATTGGGGTCCCCATTCACACCTATGTAGCTCCGCCCCAAAGATAAGCAGGTTTATTGGTTTCCACAAATTATTATCTATACTAGTATTTTCGCAACACTTTGGTGACAGATGGATAAAAATACTTTTGGATTAATCGGATATCCGATCCGTTTCAAAAAATCCTTCACAAAAAAATTTGTTGGGTCGGGTTATATTTAACCCAACTCATACACCGGATATTCCATATTTAATAATTTAGATATTTAGAAGATTTGATTAAGATTTATAATTATGATTCTCCTATCATCTTTGTTCGATTTGTTTTTAATTATTTTAAATCATAATATAATACATAAAGTAAAAAAAATCAATTTTTTTTTTGGATATACTGTGATTCGAAATTTTAAAAAGGAACATATATTATCCAATTGACGAAAATGTGTGTTCAACGTTCTACATCGATTAAAATATTTAGACAATGATTCAGAATCATATCATAAATAAGAACATTAATAAAATAAATGAGTTTTTTGGCCGGACGGGTTTGGCGGGACGGGTTTTTGAATCAACTATAATAAAAAGATTAAAATATCATTAATCCGCCGCTTCAATACGGATTAAATCCTTTTTTTGTAATACCACAAATATTAGACATATTAAATAAGTTTCATTTAGAAAATATTGTATAAAACCAAAAATTGTCATGTGGTATAATGTTACTTAATAACAATATTTATAAAATTTTAAAATATCTTTAACATGCCGCTTTAATACATATTAAATCTTTAGTTTATTAAAATATAAATGTCTTAGAGAATGATATGATTTGTAAACTTTTATATATAATAAATAATCATTAAATTTTAAAATAAAAAACAAATCACCGGACGGGTTAAAAAATTACGGAAAGGATTATATTTCGGAAAAGATTTATATGGCGGACGAATTTGAATCAATATTTATATACCGCTTTAATACGGGTTAAATCCTTAGTTTATTAATAATTGTCTCGTAGACTCGTGGTATACCGTTACTTAATAACAATTGTAAACTATAATATAAATAAATATGTTATAAGGAGATACAATTTACAAAATATTTTTATACTAACTTTTAAAACTAAATCATCCCGCGGTGTACCGCAGATTAAAATCTAGTAATACAGTAAATACAAATTATATATATATTTTTATGGGGTTAACAAAAAAAATAAAATATATATACACTTTTATGGAAGCACGTAAACGATACCCTTCCAGCCTGTAAGGGTAGTTGGCCATGTCCGGAATTTCATAATCTAATTGAAGTTGTTTGACAATTCATTGTAGATCCAAAGGCAAAAATGGCTTCTTCTTCTTTGTCTTCACCTCCTCCCTGTAACTATGATGTCTTCCTAAGCTTCCGTGGGGAAGACACACGCAGAACCATTGTCAGCCATTTGTACGCAGCACTTGGTGCAAAGGGAATCATTACTTTCAAAGACGATCAAAGTCTTGAGATAGGTGATCATATTTCTAGCAACCTCCGTAGAGCCATAGAAGGTTCAAAGTTCGCTGTTGTGGTTCTCTCCGAAAGATACACAACATCAAGGTGGTGCTTGATGGAACTGCAATTGATAATGGAGTTGTATATCCTTGATAAACTCAAAGTCCTTCCCATCTTCTACGAAGTTGATCCCTCTGACGTGAGACACCAGCGAGGAAGTTTTGGTTTAGAAAGGTACCAGGGTCCAGAATTGGTGGATATTGTGCATAGGTGGAGAGAAGCTCTGAACAGGGTAGCCAATATCTCAGGCATGGTTTCCAGACATTGGTAAGTGTTTCTTATATTTTCTCCTGGAGAAGAAAAGGTTGTATATATATTCATATATTACTACCATGTCATTGCAGTGCGGACGAGGCTAAGATGCTTGAAGGAATTGTTGAAGACATCTCAAGCCGGTTGGCTTCTATGCAAGCAACTTCTTTCGAAGATTTAGTTGGTATGGAAGCTCACATGGAAAACATAAGACCTCTCCTAAAGAAAGACTCTGATGCCGAGGTTTGTATGGTTGGAATATGGGGAATGGGGGGGATCGGAAAAACTACCATTGCCAAGTATCTATATGAACAGCTTGCAAGCCAATTTCCAGCTCATTATTTCATTGAAGATGTCGACCAAATCTGTAAGAAAGTTGATCTAAAATGTATACAACAACAACTTCTCTGCGATATTCTAAGTACAAAACGAGTGGCTTTGATGAGCATCCAAAATGGTGCAAAACTTATTCGGTCAAGGCTTGGAACCCTCAAGGTTCTCTTTGTGCTTGATGGTGTGGATAAAGTGGAGCAGTTACATGCCTTGGCAAAGGAGGCTAGCTGGTTTGGTCCAGGGAGTCGAATCATTATAACCACACGTGACAAAAGATTGCTAGATTCCTGCAGAGTGACCAACAAGTACGAGGTTAAATGCTTGCAAATTGAGGACTCGTTAAAGATGGTTAAAAATATTGCTTTTGCAGGCGGAGTTCCTCCACTTGATGGATATGAACGTTTCGTGATTCGAGCATCTCAGCTCGCTCAAGGTCTTCCTTTAGCCCTGGAAGCTTTTGGCTCATCTCTCCGTGGAGCGACCTCTATAGACGAGTGGGAAGATGTAATAGACACGCTTGAAACAGCTCCTCACCAGAATATCATGGATATTTTAAGAAGTAGCTATACCAATCTGGACCTACGAGACAAGATCATTTTCATTAGGGTCGCATGTCTTTTCAATGGAGAACCAGTCTCCCGTGTTTCTGCCCTTCTCTCTGAAACTGAAAGAAGGATAAAACTTTTGGCTGAAAAGTCTCTCATCCATATATCAAATGATGGATATATTGACATACATTCCTTGATAAAACAAATGGCTAGAGAAATTGTTGTTGAACAATCATGGTACATACCTCGACAACAAAGAATTTTGTGGGATCCTCATAGCAGTTATGGCGTACTGGAAACCAAAACAGTAAGTATTCTAGGAACGACATGTTTTTATTCTTCCATAGGACTTGTCTTATATGGTTTCTTCTTGTGCTTTTATTTGTGTTTATGCTAAGTAAATTTGACATTCATTCGATCATCAGGGGACAGAGAGAATCGAAGGCATGACACTACATATGTGTGAATTTCCCCGGGCAGCATCCATAGATGGGAATGCTTTTGAGCAGATGAATAATCTCATATATCTCAAATTCTTCAAACACCTAGATGACAGAGAGTCCAAGCTGAATATCAATTCAAAGAATTGTATGGTACTTCCTCACAGCCTTAGGCTATTGCATTGGGATGCATATCCATTAACAACCTTGCCTCCCACATTTCCTCTGAGACGTCTAGTTGAACTTCATCTGCGTTACAGCAATCTGGAGAGCCTTTGGGATGGAAAAATGGTAAGCTATAAACGAAATTGTTGTTTGCTTTTCAGTTTTCAACTTCTCAGCGTTTACAAATTTAGAATGTCACCAACGCCATTCAAATTGTCCTTTATGTTGTATTATATTCAGTCGCTTTTGGAGTTGAGGATGCTAGATGTCACTGGATCTAAGAATCTGACCAAACTTCCAGATCTTTCAAGGGCACAAAATCTTGAGGAGCTGATTGCTAAAGGCTGCACAAGGTTGGAGCAAATCCCGGAAACAATTAGTAGCTTACCTTCACTGACGAAACTTAATGTATCCCACTGTGATCGCCTCATCAATCTTCAGATGATTATGGGAGAATTGCCTGCCCTTCAAAAACGCAGCACAAGGCTTTTTCAGCAGGCTGCATTGAGTTTCCCAGATGCTGTAGTTACACTGAACTCTCTTACGAGTCTAGCCATCCATGGCAAATTAAATATTTGGTTCTCGCATCTCCGAGGAAAGGCAGACTACCTCTCCTTTAGTTCCGAGCAATGGATCCCTAACAAATTGCTGAAGACAGTAGAAAAGATGCCTAAGCTCATGTCTGAGTTTTACGGATTTAAATCACTAGACATCATGCAGTCCATCTACCGCAAGGACAGTGCCTCTTTCCAGTGTTATAGCTTTTCAGATTTCTTCTGCTTAACCGAGTTAAATCTCATTAACCTAAACATCGAAAGCATCCCAGATGACATTGGCCTTTTGCAGATCCTACAAAAACTGGACCTCAGCGGAAATGATTTCACAGGCCTACCCACAAATATGGAAAATCTTTCTAGTATGAAATCTCTCAGGCTTTGCAACTGCCTCAAACTTCTAACACTGCCAAAATTACCTCAACTGGAGACGCTCAAACTTTCTAACTGTACGCATCTCGAAACACCACTAGGACCTTCAGCTGCCAGAGAAGATGAGCGTAGATACCGCTTAGCTGAGCTTTGGCTTGACAACTGCAATGATGTTTTTCAATTGTCAGATACGTTAAGTCATTGTACCAAATTAACATACTTGGACCTCAGCGGAAATGATATGGTGACGCTGCCTGTAACTATCAGATTGCTTACGCTGTTGAATACTCTATGCCTCAATGACTGCAAGAAACTCAAGTCAATGGTACAACTTCCACCACACCTTACATCTCTCTATGCACGTGGCTGCACTTCCCTGGAAATTATTTACCTTCCCTTGGATCATTCCATAAAACACTTTGATCTTAGCTACTGCCCCAAATTGAATGAAGTTGGGAATCTGATCAATCGATTTCTGAAATGTGGACGAAAGGAAGAGGTGAACTTTCTTCCCTTGTGTTTCTTCTTGCTCAATGTATACATCGATTCCAGTTCCACATCTTTTCTTTGATATTTGATCTTAATAGGTGTCTCAGCGTTTTGCCTGCTTCTCTGGAAGTAGAGTGCCCATCTACTTCGACTATCAAGCAAGCGAATATTCCAGAGAAATCAGTTTACCCCCGATTTGGCATGCCTCTGAGTTTGTGGGTTTTGATGCCTGTATCATAATTGCTTGCCAGAGTCCTTATCACATAAAGCTCTCGTCATCTTCTTATAGCTGTAAACAGGAAGATAACCAGTCCTACCGAATTAACCTCAAGCCGGATTTCGTTCTCCCACCGGAGAGTAATCGTAGCAGCAACGACGGAGATACATTCTCAGCACATCACATGTTCATCTTCCACGTTCCAAGTAACATGGACTTCAACGAGTTTAGCCTTGAGCCAAATCTTGTAATTTCAGAAGAGTTTCAGTCTACACCGGGCAGAATATTATCGTATGGAGTTCGAGTAATACTCAAGACTGAAGAGAATGATCGAAACTACGACATAAACTGCGGAAACCTATCCAAAAAAAGGAAAAACAGATATGTTGACAGTGTGAAAGATAAGGACGACGACCCAACCACAGATTTCCTGATTTCTTTCAAATAAAAAAAAATGAGCAATGCTTCATATCCCAAGTATATTTACCTCATCGATCGCCCATAATCAGGCTGTTTCTCTTCCAATCTGTATTAGTAATTTGAAATTAACTGTGGATTTTGGGAAAAAAAAACTGTGGATTTTGGTTTACCGTTTGCAGGCATGCGATTGCTTTCTCTTAACTTGAATCTCTGCTAATTCGTCTGGAATCAATGTCGGCCGGTGAGAGGGGAATTTCGTCGTCAGTAAAATTGCTTATCCAGGGAAGGTTATAACAAATCTGTTGTGTGGATCCTTTCACTCTCGCCGAAAAAGTTTACAGCTTGTTTTTTTTTTTTTTTTTTTTTTTTTTTTTTTTGTAGTAACTCAACCTCACTGGATTCACTGCTATTGGTCTTCTTGTATATTGATTTTAGTTTCTATGGACCCGTACGATTACGGATAAGGCCTAATTGATTCGGCCCATCATAAAAACGAACAACTTTTTAAAGTGACGAAAATACCCCCAAAACCCTAATTCAAAAAAACTCTCCCCAAATATAATTTCCCGAGAAAATCATCAGCCGCTCAAGCTCACCACAGTTGAAAATGGTGTCAGGATCAGGGATATGTTCAAAGCGCGTTGTCGTCGACGCGCGCCACCACATGCTTGGTCGTCTTGCGTCGATCACCGCTAAAGAGCTTCTCAATGGCCAGAAAGTTGTCATTGTCCGGTGCGAAGAGATTTGCCTCTCCGGTGGACTCGTTCGTCAGAAAATGAAGTACATGAGATTCCTTCGCAAACGTATGAACACTAAACCTTCTCATGGACCAATTCACTTCCGTGCTCCTTCCAAAATCTTCTGGCGTACCGTTCGCGGGTTCGTAAATCAATCTCTCCAATTAGATTAGGTTTTTGAGAAATTGATGGTTCCTGCTCTTAGTCTAGATATCTGTGGTTGATTTCAATTCAATGATGATATATATAGCTGAGTGATTCATAGTTGTTGTGTGTTTTTGATTTTCTTGAAGTATGATTCCACACAAAACGAAGCGTGGTGCTGCTGCATTAGCTCGTTTGAAGGTATTTGAAGGTGTTCCTACTCCATATGATAAGATCAAGAGGATGGTTATTCCTGATGCTCTCAAGTTTGTTCCTTTTACCTTACTCTTTTGTTTTTGTAACTTTTTTATTTGTGGCATTGATGATTATCCTTGTGTTGTTATTCAGGGTGTTGAGGCTTCAAGCTGGTCACAAATACTGTCTTTTGGGTCGTCTTTCTTCTGAAGTTGGGTGGAACCATTACGATACCATCAAGGTATGTGTTGTTTTCTACTTGTCTCTGTTGCATTATAACCACTTTGATTACTTGTACTAGTTTATGTGAGCTTTAGCTAATGTGTTGAGTTTTCTAGATTTGTTCGCAAAGAAGGATAGATCTTTAGCCTTTTTTTGTCTTCATTGCTCTTGAAAGACTTTGATCGCCTGTAGTAGACTACTAGTTGATGTGAGATTAAATAATGATAGAAAGAAAGAGAATGTGTCTAGTTTTGTTCACAAAGAAGTGTTAGATAGTAGAAAAGATCTTTAGCATTTTTGTCCCCATTGCTCCTGAACCACTTTGATCGCTTGTACTAGTTGATGTGAGCTTGTAATGAAAGAAAGAAAGATATTTTGCTACTAGAATGTGTGTAGTTTTGTTCACAAAGAAATAATACATCGAAAGAAAGATCTTTAGCTACTGAGGTTGTGTCGGTACTTAATGGTGTTTGATGTGCAATAAACAGGAGCTGGAGACAAAGAGGAAAGAGAGAGCTCAAGTGGTTTACGAGCGAAAGAAGCAACTTAACAAACTTAGAGTTAAGGCTGAGAAGGTTGCTGAAGAGAAGCTTGGAGCACAGCTCGATATTCTTGCACCAGTCAAGTACTGAGCTCATGTCATCAATAGTAGCTTGTGTTTGCATGTTTTGAGCGACCCAATTACTTTTTTACTTTTTACTTAGGTCTTGTATCGGAATTTGTACTCCTAACATTTTATTGCTTGAGTTTTATTTATTAATATCGCGTGGCAGTTAAAAATGCATATTTATCTTTCAAAATAAAAAAATGTAATCATTATCCTGTAGTTAGGTTTTCCCTAATCCTAAAATTAGAGTATTTGGTCCATATATACACAACCAAAACCAAATTAATAAGAGCTTAGCTTCATAGTCTCTCCGTCTCTCGTCTCTCTTCTAAAACGTTTTCGTTTCTCTCTGACTATTTGTCGTTCATCTTTGGTTAACAACTGGTACGCAGAGGAACATGACGACTCATGAGTCGCAGATCGGACTCGCCTTGATCTCCGAGCAACGTTCAAGTCACTATAAGAAGATATTCAATTCGTTAGGCTCACCACCTTCTACTGATGCAATCCTGATCATCGATCACGACGACGGGGAGGAGGTTTCGTCAGACTTTAAGCCGAAGGATGACAACGAACTAAGTAACGTGGTCAAGGGGTTACTTAAGTCGAAGGATGACGACGATGCTCAATACAGAGTAGATTGGTTGTTTTCGTCTACTGATATACACGAGAAAAGGACGGAGAAGAAGACGAAGAAGAAGAATGAAGATGAGAGATTAATATCAACTCCTCCAGAGTTTGCCATGGGAAGCGTTTGATCGACATGCGATATTAGGTCAGTGGCTATGAATTAAATCCATGGCTTGGTGGCTGCATCGACGTTATGACTGTTTTCTTCTTGTATTCGTTAATTGCTTGTCTACTTATGTAAATTAACGTTCCTACTTGCGATGAATTAGTGTTCCGACTTGCAAATTAATTCTAAAGTGCCATATTATACCACAGCATAAAATAAAATTGCTATTAGTTGTTTACATTATTAAAATTCATGAAAAGCTAACAAATTAAACGTAATTAAATATAAACAAATAAGTAACTATACTCAATTTTTATAAAAAAATATATACATATACCTCAATTTGACGTCATTCATATTAAACTATATTGTCTTCTAAACTCTTATAAATATTCCTACAGTGACAATACCACGGTGATAACTAAGCTAATGACGTATTGGCGTTGCCTGCTGGCTGCAGCTACTAGACTCAAATATGGTTTAGTTGAACGTAGTTTAAAATACAAACAAAAATTAAATTATCAATCACCAAAACATTTTTCAAAATTTTATCATTATTATTATTGCCAAATTTCGAAAACCGTAGTTTTATGATCTCGCCTAAAATAATTCAACAACTTTTAGATGCAAACCACGGGTTAAACCATCATCTTATTTATATATATTACAAAATTTAATATTTATTTTACCACTAAAAAGTGTTTTTACATCCATGTATTTTTTAAATATTAAAGTATGCTCGTTACAACTACTTGCAAAATGTCTCTTTGAACACATTAAGCCAAAATATATGTCTCTTTACTTTCACTTTTGCATTCTCTAATTTTTTTAACTACTAAAATTGTTGACTCAAAAATATACTTTAAGATTAGTAATTTACTATATTATCTTCATTTTATATACATTTTAAAAAGGTTCTTTTTACTTTTAGGATTTGTTATTTATTGTATATTTTTTATAAGAATTTGTTTTGTTTTACACGTGTCAAAATCTGAAATCGATAAAGTTACCACGTGTCACAATCATATGAGTTACTACCTTTAAAAACCAAGCTTTATATAAATAAGATAAGATATATGTATAGTTTCCTTATAATATTTTTTCTTTCAAATTTCTATTTTTATTTAATAAGATACATATAGTTTCTTTATAATTATCCTCTTTATATTTTTCAGAATTTTTTATATAAGATATATATGTATACTTTCCTTATAATATTTGTCCTTTAAATAAATAAAAGAAATTTTTGTTTTACACATGTTAAAATCTGAAGTCGATAAATTTGATATGTGCGTATTGTTTCCTTATATCAATATTTTTTTTAATAAATAAAAGATTTTTTTATTTACACATGTCAAAATCAGAGATCGGTAAATTTGACATTTGTCACGATCCTATGAGTTACTTAACTTTGAAAACCAGACTTTATATAACAAGAAGATAACATTAATCTATAATCTCAAACAATTAATTTTTGAAAAAATATATTATTATATATTATAATGTTAATTCTCAAACACTAATTATTCTTTAAAATTAATCTCCCAATATGAATAAATTGTCTGTGTTTTATTATAAATTTTATTTGTGTGTGAATATTTTTTTAGTAATTTATTTATGATTTTCATTATTAATCATATTCAACTTTTCATAATAATATAGTTTTTCTGGGATTTTCTGTCTTTTTATTTTATAGTTATATAATTTGATAATTTTAGGTTTAACTTTATGCTTAGGAGTGAATCCGCAGATCTGAAGGAGATCCGGTGAGTCTTCTCCATCCAAAATCTTCAGAAATTAAAGAAATCTCGTAAGAATTTTTATATCTTGTGCTTTATCAATTATTAGTTATTTGACAAACTTGATAAACAAGCCGAAAGAGAAATCCATCTCTGTAATTAGGGTTTAACATAGTCTATTTGCTTGACCTAAACAGAGACAATGTCAAAGAAGATTTGTTCAACTATTAGCGAGTTACCTGAAGATTTGCTCTTGAAGATATTGTCATTCCTTTCAACGAAACATGCTGTGGTGACGAGTCTTTTGTCCAAACAATGGAAATTTCTCTGGAGAAAGATGTCGAGACTCGAGTACGATGTGTGTGATCACAAGGATCACACTGGCTTTGAACAATTTATTGACAAGTCACTGTTTTTACATCAACATCTTGTTCTAGAAAGCCTTTATTTCAGATTAAATTCAATGGTGAAGATTGGACCATGGATTAGTAGAGTCTTTCATTATCATCATTGCTACCTTCGTGAGCTCCAGATAGATGCTGGTGCTGCATATACCCCAATACCTCATGAATTGTTTACTTGCAAGACACTTGTTGTCTTGAAACTCCAAGGTGAATCGATAAGAGTGGAAGGCCTTACAACAGTCTGTCTCCCATCCTTAAGAACTCTGCACACTGACCATTCGATTCTATTCGGGAATGTACCCCTTAAAATGCTTCTATCCAATTGCAATTTTCTTACTGACCTCAAGATCATATGGAAATCAGGAGTGTGTTTATTCGAGTTCGATGTTTCTTGGTGCAAAAGGCTTGTGGCCTTGAAACTCGAAGGTTTGATGGATGTGATCAGTATTTCTTCTTCTTCTGCGGTCTGTCTCCCATTCCTCAATACTCTGCATGTTACTCACATTTGGAGGTTGAACAATGATTCCTTCTGTCGACTTTTATCCAACTGTCCTCTTCTTTCCGACCTAACATTGGAAGAAAAAACCAGCAATGTTATGCTCGATTTGAACATCGTCTTGCCTTGCTTACAAAGATTGTCGATTATCACAAAATTCAATAGTTCCACACACTTGTGTAGTTTACTTGAAAATTACATTCGAAAGCTTGCGATTATCGCACCTTCTTTCAAGTACTTCACCATTCAAGAGGTCATGTCGTTGCCTATTTATATCCCCTTTTATGTGAGGGTTAAACTCGGAGATCCATCAAAACTAGAGGTAAGTTTTTTCATTCCATGTCGTTTCTTTTTCTGTATTATATCTTTGTTGGAACCATCACATAAATGAAAAATCGCTTTATTTTTATTTTTTTTAGTATACAAGTATCTTCGATAGAATTGTACATCTGGAGCAGAGCATATGTAATGAAATATCTCAGAGAACGCTTGTAGACCTGCTAGTGTTTAGTTTTCAAGCACAATGATCTTCAATTACATCGTTATTACCCTTTTTACTCGTGTTGGCAGGTCTACAGACTAACTCTTAAAGTGTATCGCTGGGACACGCCGAGTTTTGTCCCTGAATGTTTGTTGTCCAGCCTTGAAGCTTTAGAGTGGAGACGATACACAGGGAGAGACCGAGATAAGGGTCTTATGAGTTATCTCCTGAATCATGCGCTACGTTTGAAAACGGTGAAAATATTCTCTGACGTGGAAAATAAACAACAGATTGTGGAGGACATAGCTTCTATGCCAAGAGGTTCCAAGTCATGTCAACTTGTGTTCAAGTAACTGAGAATGAGATTGCTAATATTTGGATGAACCTTAGGACATGTTATGATACGATGTTTTGCATAAAACTGTAGATGTAGTGTATTCTCTTCTTTTTTTTTGTTTTTCTTTGTCAAAAGATTTATTTTAGTCTCTCTGTTTCACTATTTAACGTAAACAGATTCATTGCATTCCACAAAACTATGATACAATGCTTTACTAGAGACCATTTATAAAAACACGAACTAGACCAAGTTACAAATAACTAAGAGAAAGACAACAAAAACGACTTGAAATTTTGAGACGCGACATATATATAGGGATAACATCCGCCTCTTAAACAACCGGAAAACAAACCTGAGTCCCATGAATACTATTTTTTAAAACATAACATAAGTTAATTATAATGTCGAGCGGGAGAGAGTTAGTTGTTGCTGCCATGTCGGATGTGTCGATGTCCACCACCGATTACATATAGAAGATTCGCGAATGGTCTCCGACTCCGCGATCAGGTCGTCACAAATTGATGATAAATTTACGTATTAATTGATAGGATAGTGATTTAAGTGCATGGACTATATAACTTCAAATGTATTTCATTATTTGTGTCATTATTCCACGAAAAAATCTCTTATAATATCTGTCTACTTAAGCGTGGCATAATTAGTAAAAAAATTGAACCACAAATAAAACGCGTTTTCCAAACGCGTTAGCAAAACAAGTAAAATAAATAAAAAAAATAATGAAATTTGTAGAGAAAGAAGATAAATACGATTCCCAACTGCTCTTGGAATTGTTTATCAGTATATGGCTATAAATACACAACTCACACAATTCGCAAATTCATAAATCTCTTTCTTCCAAAGCAAAGCAAAGACTACTCCAGAAAATTTAACCTACGTTTGCCTCCGAGTAAAAACGCAATCATCATCATGTTCATGTCACTGTCTTCACGAACCTTTGTAGTGGTTTTGTGTTTTCTGTTCGTAATCGCTCCATACTTCACTAGAGCAACAACCGATGGAGTTCGTGCTAGATGTGACTCTAAACAATTTAGGAACGGCAAACACTTCCGATCTTGCATTGACCTTCCGGTGTTAGACTCCTATCTACACTTCAGTTATATTCGAGAAACCGGAGTACTTGATGTTGCGTATCGTCACACCAACGTCGAGAGTTCTAGTTGGATTGCTTGGGGCATAAACCCGACGAGTAAAGGCATGTTAGGTGCTCAAATTCTCTTGGCTTACCGTAACTCCTCGTCTGGTTTTATGCGCGCATATACTTCCTCAATCAAGGACTACTCAACTACGCTTCAAGAAGGATCTCTCAGCTTTCACGTAAAACAACTTTCCGCTGAATTTCTCAATGGAGAGATGACTATATTCGCCACTATAGTCTTGCCTTCTAACACAACAGTCGTGAATCATTTATGGCAAGACGGTCCGCTAAAAGAAGGTGATAGACTTGGGATGCATGCTATGAATAGAGATCATCTCAAATCCATGGCTAATTTGGACTTGTTGTCCGGACAAGTCACGACCACTAAAGCAGCTAACGATAACATGTTACTAGTCAAAAACATTCATGGACTAGTGAACGCTGTGTGTTGGGGGATTTTCATGCCCATTGGTGTCTTGGCTGCAAGGTACATGAGGACCTACAAAGGATTAGATCCCACTTGGTTTTACATACACATATTTTTCCAAACCACTGGTTATTTTGGTGGTTTATTGGGAGGACTAGGAACTGCAATCTACATGGCTAAACACACGGGAATGAGATCTACACCGCATACTGTGATAGGGATCTTTTTATTCGCTCTAGGTTTTCTACAAATACTTGCCCTCAAAGCAAGACCGGACAAGAACCACAAGTATAGAAAATATTGGAATTGGTACCATCACACAGTGGGATATGTTGTGATTGTACTAAGCGTCTACAACATCTACAAAGGCTTAGCCATCTTGCAACCCGGAAGCTCATGGAAGATTGCTTACAGTACCATCATTGGTGTCATCGGATTGTTTGCGATCGTGATGGAGATCTTACAATTTAACAAGAGGTGGGGTGGCTTATGCTGCAAGAAATCTAAGGACCTAGAAGCTGATCAGACGGCTTGCATTGATGTCTAGTTTCTTAAGGTTGACGTAGTAGTTATATTGCTAAACCCTTTGTGTTCACATTGCAAAGATTAGTTTGTCATTCTTTATTTTTACTTGTAGAATGTTTACTAGATTAGTTTGTCATTCTTTATTTTTACTTGTATAATGTTTACTTCTGAATAAAAGTTATTTTATTGAATGGAATTTTTAAATTGCTTAGATGAATTTGTCATTCTTTGCGTAAGTACTTGGAGAAGAACAACTTCTGAAAAAAATATTACTCCAACAGAAAAAAAGATTCTAAGAGTTTTAATGGGCCAAACTGCGCATATAAAATGTAACCTTTTTCGACAAAGCCCAAAAAAAAAAACGATTAGAGATTAAGGATTTTAAAAATGAAGTAATTACAGATTTATGTTTTTGGAGGCATTGATTAGTATTTTTTTTTTTCAAGTTATGGGAGACTTTGGTATGTAAACGATTTGTAAAAAGGTTTTCCCTTTATGAGGAAGCTTAAGGAGAATGCATTGAGGATTAGTGTTGAAGCCAAGCAAAACGTAAATATCATTGCATTTGAAAATTCTCACTCAAGCATCATTCTCATTATCATTCTTAAGAATTGAGCAACCAAATTTTGCTTTCTCTTTTTACATTTTAACTCACAAATACCATACTGTATTTGACACTAAAAATATCTCACTTCTATTTTGTTAAATAAACATTCATTGTAGTTACAATGTTAATTATAATATTAACACAGACTGTTAGAGCATTATGACCACTAAGTAAAGTACCTACGAGTCATCATCATTGACATCTTCACACATATAGACACACTCATATATATAAATAATGAATTCACACACAAACTAGGAAACAATATAGAACAATATTAATATACTGTATGTTCTTCAGATTTCAACTTGGAAACTAGAACATGCTCTTTTGGGTCGATTTGGTTTTGCTCAGTGGATTTTGGGTTTTTGGTTTCTCCAATCCAGATGGTATGCAGATTCTCCACTTTTGTCTCACATTGTTTTTATTCTTTTGCCTTCAACTGTTTGGTTGATTCTTTGTAATGGAACAGGTTTCTTGAGCTTGTCCTGTGGCGGCTCAAGTTACACCGAGGCTTATAACATCTCATGGGTTTCAGATAACGATTATATCGAAACAGGTAACACTACCACGGTTACTTACGCCGAGGGAAATTCTACTTCCAGTGTTCCCATCAGATTCTTCCCGGATTCTCAAGGTCGCCAATGTTATAAGTTACCTGTGAGGAAGGACTTTTCCTCTGTTCTGATTCGGGCTACATTCGTTTATAGAAACTATGATAGCCAAAATAGTCCTCCAGCATTTCATGTCTCTCTGGGAAGGAGAATCACTAGTACTGTTGATCTTAGAACCAATGATCCTTGGATTGAAGAGTTGGTTTGGCCGGTCAACAATGATTCTCTTTTGCTTTGTTTGCTTGCGATTAAAGGGAGAGGCATTCCGGTTATCTCTTCTCTAGAAGTACGGCCACTTCCTTTAGGTGCTTACAGAAACAGCCTGGAGGGTTCACCAAATATAATTCTCAGGAGAAGTTACCGAATCAATAGTGGATACACGAATGGGACTATCCGGTAAGAACTTGATCACTGTCTCTGATTTTGCTTTTTTGGTGTGTTTTGTTGAATATTAATTCTTGGTGAGTTCTGTGGAATGGTAGGTACCCTTCAGATCCATTTGATCGAATATGGGATCCGGATCAAAGTTTTGCACCGTTTCATGCCTCTTGGAGCTTCAATGGACTCACAAAATTGACTTCCTTCAACATTACTGAGAATCCACCAGATTCTGTTCTTGAGACTGCAAGAATTCTTGCTCGCAAAGACAGTCTCTCATATACCTTTTCTCTGCATACACTAGGGGACTACTACATTATCCTCTATTTTGCTGGGATACTCTCACTCTCCCCTTCTTTTAGTGTGATGATCAACGACGAAGTCAAACAATCTGATTACACTGTGACTAGTTCAGAAGCTGGTACCTTGTACTTTACGCAAAAAAGAGTCAGTAAGTTAAACATCACCCTTGGAAAAATCAAGTTCAATCCTCAAGTGAACGCTCTTGAGGTATATGAAATCCTACAAATCCCTGCTGAAGCTTCTTCTACCACAGGTACTCTCTTTTTTGTTTTGCCTGGATAAAGCGAACTCCACCAGGGCCAAAAGTTCAACTTTTAAGTTATCTTTGCAGTTTCAGCACTTAAAGTCATAGAGCAATTTACCGGGCAAGACCTTGGATGGCAAGAAGACCCATGCACACCGCTTCCTTGGAACCACATCAAATGTGAAGGAAACCGCGTTACATCATTGTAAAACAAAATCCTTATCATATACCCATTCCTTTCAACATTTCTTGATCTCAGCTCATATTTACTTCTTCTGGCTGTCCAGGTTCCTTTCACAAATCAACCTGAGGTCCATTAGTCCAACATTCGGAGACTTGCTCGATCTCAAAACACTGTAAGCCAGCAATTCTTCAACCACTTTTCTAGCGTCTCATGTATACATGTTTGGTTATCTTGAGTGTTCTTCACTTCTTCGTGCAGCGACTTGCATAATACATCACTTACAGGAGCAATACAGAATGTAGGCAGCCTTAAGGATCTCCAGAAACTGTAATACTCATCCATAGAACATTAGCGTATTATTTATGTTTCCAGTAGTATTAAAAAGCTTCTGACGGTATGTCCAGGAATTTGAGCTTTAATCAGTTAAAATCTTTCGGCTCCGAACTCGAAGATCTGGTTAACCTTGAAGTTCTGTAAGTTAAATCGTATACTGAGAGTTTCTGGATATACGTTCGTTGTCTTCGGAAAACTGAAAGTAATTAGCCATTCCATGAAGGGACCTGGAAAACAACAGCTTACAAGGATCAGTTCCTGAAACATTAGGAAAGCTGACGAAACTTCGTCTCCTGTAAGTAAAACATTAAGATCAAGAAGTAGCTTGTACATACCATATTCACACAACGAATAATCTTTCTGTTACTTCTTCTCAGGAATCTGGAAAAAAATAACTTAGTAGGTCCCATGCCACAGTCTCTTAACAGAACAGGTCTTGAAGTCAGGTATACGATTTCTGTCTCGGCATTTGCTACAATATTCTGTTCTTGTGTTACTGAATTACCTTTTGTCAGGATAACGGGGAATCCATGCCTTTCGTTCACTTCATTATCATGCAACAATGTGTCTTCAACAATTGACACACCACAAGTCACTATCCCTATCAATAAGAAACACAAGAAACAGAACCGTATAGCGATCTTGCTTGGAGTTTCTGGTGGAGTCTTGTTTGCCACCTTTCTCGTCTTTGTTCTCATGTCGATTTACACGAGGAGACAGAGAAACAAAGAAAGAGATATAACCAGTATGGGAACAATGCTTTCTCTTTTCTCCGACAAAGTTGTCGCTTTATTATTCTTATAGTATAGCAAAATCTGTTTCAGGAGCACAACTGAAGATGCAGAACTGGAACACTTCAAGAATCTTTTCTCACAAAGAAATCAAGTCAGCTACTAGGAATTTCAAGGAAGTGATTGGTCGTGGAAGTTTTGGAGCTGTATATCGTGGAAAACTACCAGATGGAAAACAAGTTGCGGTCAAAGTGCGATTTGACAGAACTCAACTTGGAGCTGATTCTTTCATCAATGAGGTTAAGCATCCACATAGTTCTCCCAGAGTTACTCTCCATATTTGAATGTCATACATTCCAAATCCATGGTCAATCATACATTCATCTTTAGTGATCCCTTTGTACTGTCTATGTTCTAGGTGCACCTTTTATCTCAAATCCGCCACCAAAATCTAGTTTCATTCGAGGGCTTCTGCTACGAACCAAAACGTCAAATACTGGTGTATGAGTATCTGTCTGGTGGATCCTTAGCTGACCACCTTTACGGTATGCAAATCCCCAAGTATCTATTGCTCATCATCCTTTATCAGAGTCATCTTCCTCACAAAGTTTTTTGTGCTATCTTGATTCTGCAGGTCCAAAAAGCAAAAGGCATTCATTGAACTGGGTTTCAAGACTAAAAGTTGCAGTTGATGCTGCCAAAGGTATATCTTCAACAACCGTGATTGGTATCATCATACTAAAATACATTTGATCCTGGCAGATAGTAACATTTTTGTTTTATTCATGAAGGATTGGACTACCTGCACAATGGAAGTGAGCCGCGAATTATACATCGGGATGTAAAGAGCAGCAACATACTTCTGGACAAGGATAGGAACGGGAAAGTTTCTGACTTTGGCCTGTCAAAACAATTTGCAAAAGCAGATGCATCTCATATTACTACTGTTGTTAAAGGCACCGCAGGCTACCTTGACCCCGAGTAAACTCTTCTACAATTTCTCTCTGCATTCGTGACGGATTAACAGCTTCATTAGCTAATCATTACCCACACTTTGTCATTCCAGATATTACTCCACCCTGCAGCTGACAGAGAAAAGTGATGTCTATAGCTTCGGTGTGGTCCTATTGGAGCTCATCTGTGGAAGAGAACCTTTGAGTCACTCAGGATCACCAGATTCTTTTAACTTGGTCTTATGGGTGAGAGAAACATGATTGTCTTTATTTCTCATCTCCTAATATTTAAGAACACAATGTAATTACAGGATCAAAATACTGAAATGCAGGCTAGGCCAAACTTACAAGCAGGAGCATTTGAGATTGTGGATGATTTCTTGAAAGATACATTCGATCCAGCGAGCATGAGAAAAGCTGCTTCGATTGCTATAAGATGTGTGGAGAGAGATGCATCTGGCAGACCGTCTATCGCAGAAGTTTTGACTCAACTAAAAGAAGCGTACAGCCTTCAACTCTCATATCTAGCTGCTTCGGCACATACAGACTGATAACACATCATAAACAAAGAGTAAATAAATATACTTTTATCAATTTTTGTTTCTTTTTGTTTGTGTTACAAATTTTTGTAAGCCAATTGAAAATGTATTTACTTTACTCTCATACTAACTACTTTTTATCATTAGAACAAGGAGATTGATACTAGAAATATATATACCAGCAAAATTGAGCTCTATTCCTCCGCTAAAAATCCGGCTTCTTCACCACAACTTGGGTTTCACCAACAGACTCAACGGCACCATGAAGCTCCTTTACATGGGTAGTCATGCCACTAATTCTATAAGCCTTAACCATTGTCCTGTATGTAATCTTATCAGGTTTGAATCCCTTCTTTTCCATTAGTTCGAGAACACCTTTCATCTCTGCAAACTTTTCCATCCTCCCGTACGCATCTACCAGACAGTTAAAAAACACGAGGTCTAACCTTATGTCTGAATTCTCGATGAAACGCAAGACTCCTCCAATTTTATCAGCTTTACCAGCTCTTCCATAGGCACGAACAAGAGAACATAGTGTAACACAGCTTGGTACAATTCTCTCTGATTGCATTAGTCTAAATAAGTATTCCATTTGTTTCAAGTCTCCTGCTCTCCCAAACGCGTCAATAACCACATTGTAGGTGACTATGGTCCATGAATAATGATACTTCTGCATATATTCCATCACAGCACTCATCTTCTTGTAGTTTCCTGATTTCCCATATGAATCAAGGAGGATATTGAAGGTTCTGATGTTGGGTTCAATCCCAGATCTCTGAAACTTCTCATAACAATTCTCCATCATTTCTATCTGTCCATTTCCCCCAAAGGCTCTAAGAGTTGAGTTCATGGTCCACGAATCAGGCTTGCAATCATCCTCTCCAAGCATTTGGATAAGTGTTGATTCCATCTCCACAAACCTTCCAAGACAAAAGAATATCTCAGTTCATGGCTGCTTTGAACTAAAATTGTCAAATTCAGGTATTCACTCCATCCCAGCATGTGTAAAGTTCTCGGTAAAATGGAATGAAAGAAAAAAGGCGTCAAAATGTTTGCAACCATGAAACATCACACGGGATGGAGTGAGTGCAAGTTGATATAACAAAATGAAGAAAATTCAAAAGGACAGGACAGGATGCGAAGTACATTTTTGCTTTCCCATATGCATCGATGAGGGTATTATACGTGATCGTATTAGGCCTAATACCCTGTCTTCTCATATCAGAAAGCAGATCATGAACCTTATCAAACGCAAAAACCTGAAGAAACGACTTAATAAGGATGGAATAAGTGTGCACATCCGGCTGACAGTTATGACTACTTTTCATACGTTCCAGAAGAGTAAACGCAGCATCAAAGCGTCCGCTCCTACTATAAGCAGATAAAAGTGCAGTATACACTTCATGATTCACCACACAACCTTCATTAATCATTTCCTGAAAGAGTTCATGAGCCTTTTCTGGTTGTTTGCATTTTCCAAGCATCACAATCATCTTCACATAGATACCAACGTTTGGTTTGTACCATAGCTGTTCGCGCAATAGCTCAAACACCTACATATCCACCAAAATTATGTTATAATTACACAGAAAAACTCAACACTACATCATCCTAAACCATTAATTTGTCATCCTTGACATCATTTTAAAGACACAATTTCATAAAATCAAAGAGATAAGCTCAAAATCTAGCAAAGTTCTTCGAAATTCAGCGAAAAAAATATACAATCTCAAGCTACTATAAGCATAATCTGAATTTCTCTGCTTCAAATTTCATCTTTATCAAAATCTATAACCAAACATAATCATATTAGTGTATCAAATTCAAATTCGAGATAATTTTGGAGCACACGAAATCTACCTGAAGAGCAGATTCCCATCGGAGAGCTGTGATTCTTTCGTGAAGAGACTCAAGCACAGTCCTTGGAAGAAGCTTCTTCGAGCCTTTCTTCTTCTCAATTATCGACTTTGTAGCTTCTCTTCGGAGTATTATCGATATCGCCTTCCTCGAAGCAATCTTCGTGTTCTTATCCTCTTTACACTCCTTCGAATCTCTCTCAATCACGTCCTCCGAATTCATTAGCCATTTGCTTTGCCTAGTCTCTCTAAGCGACAAGGAGGAAGTACTGGTGCTTTTATCGGAAGTGATTGTGTGTTTCGGCTCGCGTGGGGAGATGGAGATACATCGGACGGTGAAATTTCTCTCCGCTGGCCGGCGGTTAAACGCCGTCGGGAGTGGTGGCGCGTGGCTTCTGGAGGTGGAGAGCGAAACCATTTGAACCATCCTGAGAAAATTTAAGGATCAGACATTACTGAAGAAAAAGGAAAAATGGGAACGTTTATTGAATTTTATTGGGCCAGGCCCAAATAACTAAGGAAATGTGACCAAAAAAGAACACATTTTTTAGTTTCGAAGACCAATTTGATTCTTAGTTGGAGATGTGATGTTTCAGTTTTGGCCCAAAACTCTTTGAATTATTTAGAAATTCGACCCATCGAAAATATTATATAGAGAAAATTCGGAAAAATACCCTCTTTTTGTTTTTTTTGACGTCTAGATTTATTATTTATTGCAAATTATGAGAACTGTTACATAGACGATTCTACAACGGACAATTCCTTCCGACCCGTATTAGATCCACGACCCTTATTCTACAACGGAAAATTCGACCCTCTTTTTGTTTACACTTTTGAAAAATACCTTCTCTTTGTTTTTCTTTTAAAAATATAAAATTACTAAAAAATCTTATTTAAACTTAATAATAATTAAGCAAAAGGATCTATATTTTTAATATCAAATAAATTAATTGGTAATAATTAAATATCTAATTTTTACAAAGTTGTCCGTTGACCAAATCATGTTCGTCTTTCACCATGGATGTTGTTTTGTAACTTTGAATGTTATATAACTAATAGTTCCAAAGATTCATTATCCTAAATATTTTTAAAGAACAATAATGAATAATAGCATCTTACCAGTGTCAAGTCGTGATTTTTTTGTTAAGTTATATGGTGCCGATTTTAATCATTCATTATTATTAAAAACACATAAAATTGTTTATTTTGCAAAAACAAATCAAAGAGAATCGTTTAATTGAGGCAAACGTTGGTAATATGTTGAGTTAAAAAATGTGTTTGGAACATTGTAGATTTTTTTCTTTATATAATATAACAGATATTAAGCGATAGACTTTATAATATTTTTAGATATAATCTTGTTAAAATTTAATATATCAAATCAATAAACTATTTTCGTATTAAAAATATATATAACCATGATTAATATTATTTCGAATTTAGTATAGATTTTTCCTCTAAAATTCGAATTTATTTTTTATTTATTAAAAATATAGCTTTAAATTTTAAATTTGTTCAAAATAGTCATATTATATAATTGTAGCTTTTATTAAAAACTAGAAAAAGGGTATATTTCAAAGTATAACTCAAAAACAGGGTAATTCTCAAAATCACCCTATTATATATATAATTTAAATCGTAATTATTGAAAAAACATTTATGTATTATAAATAAATATTTTATTTTATAGTAGATATAAATATAAATAATAATAAAAATTTTATACTCGCAACAAATAGGAATGCTAAATAACAAAAAGACAAGAGAGATTTTACTTCGTTATAATTGAAGTTATGCGAAATAATGTATCTTACAATCAACGTTTCATTGTTGTTTATATAAAGGTAAAAAGATAAATTTATTGTGCTCGCATAGTGACGTGGACTCCACATTTACGTAACATTTAACACATTTGTATGCGTATATTGTTGACGTTATTATTTTCTTCCTTTTCTGATTTTTACAACATTTTCTCTTGGAGACCAATTTTACTGTCTCTTGTGTAATATCTTCTGTTGCCTCGTTAAAAATCCGGTAGAAAAAACTATAGTAGGTAAAAAGTGTGCAACCGCGCAAGCTCCCCTTCGAATGATCAGAATCATAACTTACAAGTCTTGTTGATGATGCATTCCAATGTTATGGACATATTTCCTGAATATAGAGGTGGATAATGATTTTGTGAAGAGATCTGCAGAATTCTCGGATGATCGGACATATCTTACTTTAATATGTTTATTCTTCACAAGCTCTTGGGTGTATGAAAAAAACTTTGGAGGGATATGTTTGGTTCTATCGCTTTTGATATATCCTTCCTTTGTCTGAGCAAAACATGCAGCAATGTCTTCATTTAAGATAGTTGGCTCGGTATTCAGAAGAATTCCATCACTTATTTGAATGTGTCGACTTATTGATCGTAGCCAAACGCATTCTCTACTCGCTTCATGGAGTGCGATGATTTCAGTATGATTTGAAGAAGTAGCCACAAGCGTCTGCTTTTGAGAACGCCATGATATAGCGGTACCTCCAATCCTGAACACTTATCATTTTCGTGATCGAGCTTTGTGTGGGTCTGATAAATATCCTGCATATGCAAAACCAATCATTTGACCATTTATATTTTTTGGATAAAGTAAACCTAAATAAATAGTCCCTTGAAGATAATGAAAGACATGTTTAATCCCATTCCAATGTTTTTGTGTAGAAGACGAACTAAATCTAGCCAAAATATTAACATAAAATGAAAGATCAGGCCGAGTGCAATTTGCAAGTTACATAAAGGCTCCAATTGCACTTAGATACGGTACTTCAGGACCAAGTATCTCTTCATTCTTCTCAGGTGGTCGGAATGGATCACTTTCAACATTAAGGGATCTAAATCGTAATTATTGAAAAAACATTTATGTATTATAAATAAATATTTTATTTTATAGTAGATATAAATATAAATAATAATAAAAATTTTATACTCGCAACAAATAGGAATGCTAAATAACAAAAAGACAAGAGAGATTTTACTTCGTTATAATTGAAGTTATGCGAAATAATGTATCTTACAATCAACGTTTCATTGTTGTTTATATAAAGGTAAAAAGATAAATTTATTGTGCTCGCATAGTGACGTGGACTCCACATTTATGTAACATTTAACACATTTGTATGCGTATATTGTTGACGTTATTATTTTCTTCCTTTTCTGATT